GCGAGACTCCGTCTCAAAAAAAAAAAAAAAAAAAGCAGGGGGAAATCATTCAAGGTGCACTTGACCTCGCATGCGCCCCATCTCTCCTATGGAGCGTTTGACAGTGACCAAATGAGTTCTTTAAAAGCAGAAGTGTTTCTCAGGTTGGTCACTGAGGAAGGAGTCAGAGCGATGCTCTTGCCGGGCTGGAAGAAGTAACAACCATGTCCCAAGCTGTTCATGAGGACCATGTGGCAAGGAATGTGGGTGTCCTATAGGAGGTAAGAGAAGCCCCTGATAAGGAAACAGGTACCTCAGTCTACAACCTCAAGGAGCTGATTTTGGCCAACAACTTTAATGACTTTGGAAGTTGATATCGTTTGGCTGTGTCTCCACCCAAAACTCATCATGAATTGTCGCTCCCATGATTCCCACATGTTGTGAGAGGAGATAATTGAATCATGGGGGCACTTTCTGTTCTCGTGGTAGTGAATATGTCTCACGAGATCTGATGGTTTTATAAGGGGAAACCCTTTTCACCTGGCTCTCACTTGTCTCTTGTCTGCCACCATGTAAGATGTGCCTTTCACCTTTTGCCATGATTGTGAAGCCTCCCCAGCCACATGGAACTGTGAGTCCATTAAACCTCTTTTTCTTTCTAAATTACCCAGTCTCAGGTATGTCTTTATCAGCAGTGTGAAAACAGACTAATACAGAAATGGATTTTTTTTTTCCCCAGAGTATCCAAAAAGAAACACAGGCTGGCTGACACCTTGATTTCAGCCTTGTGAGACCCTGCAAAGAGAACCCAGCAATGCCGTCGCTGGACCTCTGACCTATGTACAACTGTGAGCTAATAAGTGGGAGTTGCTTTGGACCTCTAAGTTTGCCATTATTTGTTACCTAGCAGTAGAAAATCAACACAGAGCGAGAGTAAAGACAGATAGGATAAGAAAGCTCCTACATGAATGATTTATGTTTCTGTTGGAGATGAAAGTATTACTAGTCACACAGAGCAAGGCCTAGGGGCTAAATGAGCTGCACTGATGGTAAATGCTGATAGAGGCCTGTGGAGGGGACCCTGTGAGCCTAGAGCAGCAAGAAATGCTCCATAGGAGAGATGGGGCACATGCGAGTGACAATGGGAAGAATTGGTAGCTGGAGAGAACAGGGAAAGCCTTTGGGTAAGGGGGGGGTGATTTAAGCACAACTGTGTGAGCAGAAATATGCAAGGGGTGCTATAGGAAGACTAGGGAGCTTCCACCGATCCCATCTATCTTCCCTGTCTGACTTGGCTGAGGCCATTCCAGACAATTCTCTGAATATGTTATGCATTTTCATATCTCCAGGCATCTGCAGAGACCCCTTCTTCTCCCTATAACTCCCTTTCTGCCTCCATCCCTTGTCTTTCAAGACCCAGCCCAAGGCTCTTCCCCTACAGCATCCAGCCTCAGAAAGGTGAATCTCAAGCCCATGTTTTCACGGCTCATAAATAGAAGCTGGGACTTCAATAGACTTGTTCTTTCTTTCTTTCTTTTTTTGATGAAGTCTTGCTCTGTCACCCAGGCTGGAGTGCAGTGGCACGATCTCTGCTCACCGCAACCTCCACCTCCCGGGTTCAAGCGATTCTCCTGCCTCAGCCTCCCAAGTAGCTGGGATTACAGGCGTGTGCCACCATGCCCAGCTATTTTTTTTTTTTTTTTGTATTTTTAGTAGAGACGGGGTTTCACCATGTTGGCCAGGCTGGTCTCGAACTCCTGACCTCGTGACCCACCCGCCTTGGCCTCCCAAAGTGCTGGGATTGCAGGCATGAGCCACCGCGCCCGGCCTAGACTTGTTCTTTCTACTATCCCACATTTAGTAAAGAAAGGAAAGAAACTCTTTGCCACGTCAATAATCAACCTCAAATGTGTCCTTTTGCTCGAATTCTCATTTCCAAATGGCAGGCTTTCTTACAGCGGGGCGCACCCCCCAGGCTGGCCAGGCTGACAGCCCAATTCTGTAGGAGCCTTTGGCTGTGAATTTCTACAGCAGCTGGAACTGCGAGGAGCTTCCCGAGGCTCCCCGAGAGAACTGGAGGGCCCCAGGCTCTTCCCACGGCATCCTTGATCGTGTTCTCGTTTCCTCCTCCAGAAACATGGGGCTAAAATAAGCCCAGAAGCTGAGCAAGGGCTGAGTCAGACCCTCAGAGTGGAGCAATCACTGCACGGCTGCTCCTTGTAAGAAACATCCCGTTGCGCCTGAGTTGTTTATTGCCAAGAGCTGTAAGTGAAAAATGAGCTCTCCTAAGACAGGCTGGGAGCAGGCTCCTCTTTGTGGAGATGGCACGATGCTTCACAGCTTGGAAATGTTCTGTGCCAGTATAAAAGGTGTGGCATACATCCCTTGGAGCAGGAAAATCTGGTGACAAAGGGGAAGGAACCTAGGCTGGAAGCCAAGTGGCACGAGGGTTAGTCTCAACTTCATTGCTTACCAGGCACATCAAATGAATGATGCCCTTACCTGCTGAGAGTCTCCCTTTTCTCAGTCGCAACAGGAAAAGGTAAGCCCAGATGATGTCTGCATTTCTTTCTGGCCCCGGCTTTCTTTTGGTTTGTCCAAGCAGCTCCCCAAACTCACTCTCAGGCCCTAAATAATGGGAGCTGGTAACGGTGGAGAAAGGAATTCCGACGTGGCCTATGGCAGCCATTGCTTCATTGAGTCAGGTTCAATCATCACCCACTGATCCGACACCTCTGCTGTCCAGGCATCTGGGAAATGGCTGGGGATACAGAGGTGAAAAAGACAGGGTTGCTTCAGGAACTCACTTTCCAGCAGGTGAGAGTATGAGTAGAAAATGTGGAGAAAACCAAAAGCTGACCAACAACACAAACTCCTTTGCTAAGCCCTGAATGAATGATCTGGAAAAGTAGCTCAGAATGAAGAACGGTTCACAAGAGTTCAGATGGGAGTGGGCTTCAGCTGGAAATTCAATTCTGTTACCATTAGGTTGGTACAAAAGTAACTGCGGTTTTCGCCACTCCTTTTTTTTTTTTGAGACGGAATCTTGCTCTGTCGCCCAGGCTGAAGTACAATGGTGCGATCTCGGCTCACTGCAACCTCCGCCTCCCAGGTTCAAGAGATTCTCCTGCCTCAGCCTCCAGAGTAGCTGGGATTACAGGCATGTGCCACCACGCCCAGCTAATTTTTGTATTATTAGTAGAAACGGGATTTCACCATGTTGCCCAGGCTGGTCTTGAACTCCTGAACTCAAGTGGTCTACCCACCTCGGCCTCCCAAAGTGCTGGGATTACAGGTGGGAGCCACCGTGCCCAGCCATGCCATTACTTTTAAATAGCAAAAACCACAATTACTTTTGCACCAACCAAATAGATTTTTCCCGTGTCAGTCAAGTTTTATTGAGAAAGAGGTCAGTAAAAAATGATTAGAGAGATCAGAATTTACTTTCTTCCGATGATCTAACGTTTTAATGTCCATGTAGTTTTTCCCAGACAGCAAGAATAATTCAGGTTGGTTTTTATCCCAAGTTTCCCCATACTTAAGAGAAAAACCATTCATATGTGGCGATGGGGACCACTGAACTGAAAACAGTTCTAATGCAAAAGAGTAAGAGACTAAATCATTACTGAAGAGTTCAGGTCCTATTTCAATGACACTCTGTCTCTCAGATTCACCACAGTCAGCACTTCCAAAACGTCTTTCAAACATTTAAAAAACATGTATTCATGGCATTTGCCTTTTAAGCTATAATTAAAACAAATGTTAAGATTTAATGACATATTTTAATATTTCTAAATATCACACTGGACGCAATGGCTCATGCCTGTCATCCCAGCCCTTTGGGAGGCCGAGACAGGCAGATTGCTTGAGCTCAGGAGTTTGGAAGCAGCCTGGGCAATGTGGCAAAACCCCATCTCTACAAAAATTAGCTGGGAGTGGTGGCATGCGCCTATAATCCCAGCTGCTTGGCGGGCTGAGGCAGGAGACCTGCTGGAGCCCAGGAGGTCGAGGCTGCACAGACCCACGTTCGCACCACTGCACTCCAGCCTGGGTTACAGAGCGAGACTTTGTCTCAAAAAAAAAAAAAAAAAAAAATCATTTAAAAGGTTACATTTAGTTGGGCACAGTGGCTCACGCCTGTAATTCCAACACGTTAGGAGACTGAAACAGGAGAATCACTTGAGGCTGGCAGTTTGAGACCAGCCTGGGCAACAAAGCAATACCCTGTCTCTACAAAAAAAAAAAAAAGTTTTAAAAATGAGCTGGGCACAGTGGCACATACCAGTTGACCTAGCTACTAGGGAGGCTGGGAAGGAAGGATCACTTGAGCCCAGGAGGTCGAGGCTACAGTGAGTTATGATTTTGCCACACTACCCCAGAGCGAGATGCTGTCTCTAAAATAAATAAATATTTTGAAAGGTTTTATTTAATTTTATGATTTCCTCTTTGGGATTTTTTTTTTTTTTTTTTTGCCATCAACTTTTTAGTTTGAAGCTTGAAACATGAATTAAAATAAGCAAAATTTGAGACATCATGCATGCGGAAAATGAATAAAACAAACGGAAGACTGAATTAAAACGTACTACATTATATATTTATAAAGCAAATGCTGTATAACCACAAATCAGGTTCTGTGGTTCTATAGATTTCCTCTGTTTTCATCTAAATTACACGTGTGCCGCTTGTAACCGTAACTATAATGCAGCACATAAGGCACCTAGGGTGCTTCCTGATATACACTCAGTACTCATAGGTACTTATCCTAATTGTGAGTCAGTGATTCATTCAACAAACATTCACTGAGTTTATATTCTATGCCAGCTTTGTACCAAGCACTGGAGAAAGAAAAATGGCTAGACATAGCGCCCCATCCCAGCACCACGAGGGAGACAGACACGTGCAACTGAAAGTGACTACAGCTCAAGTTAGTGGAGCGCTCTCCCCAGTGGCCCCAGGGCGTAGAAGAATGAATGGTTTTTCTGCAGAAGGAAACGGAGTTTGCCAGTGAGCATGGTGGGAAGAGAGCTGTTGTTCCACCACCACAAGTAACGACATGAACCGAGACACAGACACCTGGGTGAGCAGGCTCATCCCTGCGCACAGTGGGGCGGGAAGGATGGGGGTTGGGAGATGGATCAGGGGAAAGCTGAACTTTTTCTTTGGGAACAAGGAAACTAGTAGAATCATGTAAGTACATCAAACCTATAGCGAAGATTTTTCTCACAATGGGGTGGAAGGTTTTTTTTTCTTTTTCTTTTTTCTTTTTTTTTTTTTGAGACGGAGTCTCGCTCTGTCGCCCAGGCTGGAGTACAGTGGCCGGATCTCAGCTCACTGCAAGCTCCGCCTCCTGAGTTTACGCCATTCTCCTGCCTCAGCCTCCCGAGTAGCTGGGACTACAGGCGCCCGCCACCTCGCCCGGCTAGTTTTTTGTATTTTTTTTTAGTAGAGACGGGGTTTCACCGGGTTAGCCAGGATGGTCTCGATCTTCTGACCTCGTGATCCGCCCGCCTCGGCCTCCCAAAGTGCTGGGATTACAGGCTTGAGCCACCGCGCCCGGCCAGGGTGGAAGTTTTGAGCTTATGTGGAAATATCTTTTACTTCCACATAGTAATAATAATAATTACTGATATTATTATTAGCAATTATACTACTGCCGCTGAGCCTCCTGAGCATTGCGTATGTATTATGTCATTTATCACCACAAAAAGCCCCTGAGGTGTCTACTATTATTACCAAGAGGCAGTAGAATTTACTTATTATGAATGCATGCTCTGAAGCTAGATTATTTGCATTAAGGTCCTGGCTCCACATTTAGGCAAATAGCTTAACCTCCCCATGACCCAGTTTTCTTATCTTTATAATGAGGTAATAAAAATGCCAAGCTGATGAGGTTGTGGGAAGGATTTAATAAGATTCTACCTGTGAAATGTTTAAAAGAATGTCTGTCGGATACATTGTGTTAAGTGAAGGTTGCCTTTTATTGACCCATTTCACAGAGGAGAAAACTGAGGCTTGGGGAGAGGAGGTCACATTTCAAAGGTCACCTAGCCAGTAAGTTGAAAGTTCTGGATTCAAACCCAGGAAGTCTCAACACAGAGCCCCATCCCTCCACCATCTAACAAGCCAGGTTTAGTTGCTAAAGTTGGGGTTTTCTCTGGCAAACTTTTGACATGCTTAACTCTGTTTTAAGGACTTTCTTTCTTTTTTAAATTAAAAAAAAGTTAACAGACAGGATCTGGCTCTGTTGCCCAGGCAGGAGTGCAGTGGCTATTCATAGGAATGATCATGGCACACTGCAGCCTGGAACTCCTGGGCTCAAACGATTCTCCCGCCTCAGCCTCCTGACTAGCTGGGACTACAGGCATGCACCACCATGCCTGATTCAAGGACTTATCCTAAGTCATCCCCTGCCAAAAGGTCCAGCCAGAAGGCGATGAGGAAATGTACCTCTATTTGCTTATTGCTACCTGAAGGAAACATTAATTAATTAATGGATTTTATCAAACATTTATTCACTTATGGATATAGTTTCAATGTTTGCCACCTCCAAATCTCATGTTGAAATGTGATCTCCAATGTTGGATGTGGGGCCTAGTGGGAGCGGGAGGTGTTTGAATCCTGTGGGCAGATCTCTCAAGAATGGCTTGGTGTCCTCCCTGCAATAATGAGCTCACTGGAGATCTGGTTGCTTAAAGGAGACTGGCATCTCCTCCTCTCCTTCTTGCTCCTGCTCTTGCCATGTGACACCACCTGCTCCACCTGCATCTTCTGCCATAATGGTGAGATTCCTGAGGCCCTCACCAGAAGCAGACGCTAGCAGCATACTTCTTGCATAGTCTGTAGAACCGTGAGCCAAATAAACCTCTGTTCTCTATAAATTACCTGGTCTCAGGGAATCCTTTATGGCAATGCAAAGTGAACTAACACACTTACTCATCCTCTAAGTGTTCAGCATCGAATTTTGTCATTTCACATATGTTATCTCAGATACTGTCCACCACCAAAACTGTCTGACTATTCCCATTTTCTAAGTGGGGACATTGATGTTCAGAGGAGTTAAATAACCTGTTCAAGGCCAGACAATTGCTATTGACTTTGCAATGTCTACCCCACACCATCTGCACGGGTGGGGCCTGATTAATGTGAGCTAGTCACAGAAATCACATCTCCGTTTCCGATGGGAGGATTCAGGCCTAAGCCAATTAGTGCAGAGCATCCTGCCAGCTGTAGGGATTCGTTCAGAAATGAGCATACATTTGAGTAAAAATGGTGCAAGGGGAATGTTTCTGGGGCTTCTGCAGATATTGGCCTGTCTCTCTGGAGAAAGCCTCAGCAGGAGACAGTTTGATCCTTTGACATTGCTGTGTGTGGATATGAGGTCTGGGGATACTGCAGCCACCTCACAATAAGCTTGTGCATGACACTGGTGCAGGGGTGGGAATGGCCAGGCGAATCACAGAGACCGCTGGATAAAGCCAATCCTGAAGCTTCCTGCTATGTGGGCCAACAGATGTCCTTATTGTTCCAACAGTCTGAGTAAGAATTTCTGCACGGTTTGCACAGCGCGGAACTTGGTTCCAAGTCCAAGTCCAAACTGGGGCTACTCCCCAGTCCGTACCTTCCTAACATGCACGGCTGCAGACATGGTTCTTCTACTCAAGTTGTTTACCATCTGGCAGGAGGTTTTTGGCATTCTGCTACAGTGGCAGATTTGGTCATCAGTCACCATGCCAAGCTGGTGGTGGTTTGAGTCATTGTTTTTCTGTTGGCCTATTTCTTTCATAATAAATATGTATTGCTTAGATAATAAAAACAAAAAAGGGGAAAATTCCATGGGAGGCAGAGGTAAACAAAAACGCTGTGCTTTTAGGAGGCTTATATAAAGATCAAGCTGTATGATGTGTGTTAGCATGATTTAAAGAATGCTAAACTGGGTGGGGCCCAAGACAGATAAAAGAGGCTAAGCCGGCCGCGCGCGGTGGCTCAAGCCTGTAATCCCAGCACTTTGGGAGGCCGAGACGGGTGGATCACGAGGTCAGGAGATCGAGACCATCCTGGCTAACACGGTGAAACCCCGTCTCTACTAAAAAATACAAAAAAGTAGCCGGGCGAGGTGGCGGGCGCCTGTGGTCCCAGCTACTCGGGAGGCTGAGGCAGGAGAATGGCGTAAACCCGGGAGGCGGAGCTTGCAGTGATCCGAGATCCGGCCACTGCACTCCAGTCTGGGCTACAGAGCCAGACTCCCTCTCAAAAAAAAGAAAAAAGAAAAAAGACGCTAAGCCTTTTATCGTACCACTAGGCACTAGTGACTTTTGAGACCTGATGATTAATTAGGAAGAGCTGGTTGTAGTTATTATCAAACCTCCCTAATTTCTCCAAATGAACGGATGCGGGCTGGGTTGAGGATAGATGGGGGAAAGGTGGTAAGAATCCTCTGAAGCCCATTTCTGGAACCTTGGTTTCTCAGGATCGCTGCTTCCTTGGTGGATTTCCTTTCTGCTCTCCTGCAAGTGACCCTTGTGAGCCTCTGACTCCGTAGGACCAGCCCCAGCTACCCTTTTTGCTAAGGATGTATCATCTTGCTGGGCTTTACCAAGGGCGTTACTAAACCAGCTTCTATCATTGTAGCCACACAAAGGTAGGCAAGGAAAAGACCCTAATCTGGAAAGCAGAAACCCAGTCTCCAGCTGGAGTCCAACTCCTGACCTTTCCACCCCCAAAGGCATAGGCTAAGATTCCTTTCCCCTCACTGACTGGATTAATTTCAGCCTGACAATTCCCCCTGCCTCCAGACTCATTTACCTACTGTTGTTTATAGCCTCAAAAAACGTCATGGCAACAAAGATCAGAGGAAAGATCACAGTGTCTGGAGTCAGAGAGATATATGCATTTGCATCCAGACTCTGCCTGTTGCTAGAACTCTGATTTTGAGCAGGTTCTTTGAGGTCAGCTCCCTCATCTGCAGGGGTTTGAGATGAAATAAATGATGTAATAGAAACCTTATAAATGCATGAAATTACTGAGGAATTTATGTGCTTTTGCGGAAATTATGAGGCAGGGAAGCAAGAGAGATGCCTTTATTTTCTCCCAGGGATGAGAGTGGAAGGCAAGGAAGCGTGTTACAGCTGAGCGAACAGACGGTGGAAGGCCTGGGGACAAATAAAGTCCAATATAGCTGGAACGTAGAATATAGGAAATAAATTAAGCCTGGAGAGCTAAGGGTAATCAAAGTAGTTCAAAGCCATATAAGGAGTTCACACATTATCCTAAGAGAAGGGAGGAGCCATAGAAGGGTCTTAAGCCAGAGAATAGCTTGACATGTGTTTTTAAAACTTTACTGTGCCTGTGTAGAGAATAGTTTGCAGGGGGTCAAGGCTGGAACTGGCAGCCCAGTTAGGAGGCTGATGACCTAGTCCAGAGGATGGGTGGCGGCCTGAACCAGAGAGACAAAAGTGGAATCAAGAAAACTGGATGTCTCTGCCACTTGCTATGGCTTCAAGGAAGTTACTTACCCTCAGTTGAGTTACTTAACCTTCACTGAGTTCAGTCTCAGGTTTTCTCCCCCATTGTTTATGGAGGACAGTAATAGTATCTGTATCCTAGAGTTTTTAGGGGATGAAACGAGAGAATGCATATAGAGCGCATTGCACAGCATCTGCCACATCATATGCGCTGGCAAGATGGAAGCGACTATTACCATTGTTAGTAGTGGAAGTCATGTGGGCAAATATCACAGGGTGCATTCGGGGCATGCTGCTTAAATGAATGAAATAAGTGAATAGTCAGTGAGTGCCAGAAAATGCCCTTTTCAAGACTGAAATCTTGTTTAAAAGGTATAAATAGCCCTGGTGGGGAAGGACAGAGAGAGGTAGGGAGGGTTGTTGTCTAAAGAGGTCAATGCGCTCTCTTGGTGAGCTCTTCTGAGAGTTAGGACACAAAGAGAATGTGTCCAAATGGTGAACAGGTGGGGCAACCAAGCTGGAGTCCTTTTGAAGAGGGTCAGGAAACAAAAGCCTGCAAGCAGCACAGATGTGTGAAAAAGCTATTTTTAGTCTGGTACAAGAAGCCCACAGGAGAAGTACCACCCCTAACCCTAGTCCTCTTTGTCTCTGTCTTCTCTGCCGGGAAAATCAATCATCATGTCAGGAGGGCAGGTGTTAAAATTGGTCAGAGGAAATAAAAATCCAAGAGAGCTGAAGATATACTGAGAGAATGTCATGCTCTATTAAATGCATTCAAGTCTCATTGCTCAGAGAAATGACATGTTAGGGTTCAACTGAAAATACAAATGTTTTGTTGTTTTTGCAGGTTTTAAAGGAATATATGCTCATTTTAAGACTCCAACTATCAACAGAAACTATTTTGAGCACCAACTGTATGGCAGGAAGTAAGCCTAGAACTTTATGTATATTTATGTCACTTTATTATTATTATTATTATTTTGAGATGGAGTTTTACTCTTGTTGCCCAGGCTGGAGTGCAATGGCGTGATCTCAGCTCACCACAACTTCTGCCTCCCAGGTTCAAGTGATTCTACTGCCTCAGCCTCCTGAGTAACTGGGATTACAGGCATGTGCCACCACACCCGACTAATTGTGTATTTTTAGTAGGGACGGGGTTTCTCCATGTTGGTCAGGCTGGTCTCAAACTCCCAACCTCAGGTGATCTGCCCGCCTTGACCTCCCAACGTGCTGGGATTACAGGTGTGAGCCACTGCACCCAGCCTGTCATTTAATTATCACCCAAACTTATTGTATGCCTAGTATCACTTACCCATTCTACAACTAATGAGCCCAAGATCAAGAGAGCTTAAGTGACTTGCCCAGAGTCACACAGCTAGTTCTATGACTTGCTCATTTGGACAAGTTACTTAATCTCCCTATGCCTCAGTTGGTTCAACTGTTACAGAGGATAAGGACTCCCAGTAGACTGAAGTGTGCTTAGACATTAGAACCATACTCTCGTTCAAAATCTTCTTGTATAACTTACTAACTTTATGCCTTTGGGCAAGCCATATAGCCGTGTGCCTCAGTTCCTCTTCTGAAAACTGGGGATCTTAATAGTGACAATGGGCTGTTGCAAGGATTAAATTAGCTAATACAGGCTAAATGCTTATAAAAGTACCTGCTCTCTCATAGCTAATAGCTCGTATTAATATAATTGGTAGCAGTAGTATTTCTATGCTGTCTCGTTAGGACAACATAACTTATTCCAGCAAGGCACATTAGAAGAAAAAGAATGGACTTTCCAGGGCAGGCAGATCTCTTCTGAGAATTCAAGGAGCTCACACTGTGAAACACTCAGAATAGTGCCTGGAAAATAGTCGTGCTTATGCCCATGTGTTGTTATTATTATCTATAAATTCCACAACACAAGCTCTTAACTTCTATTTGCTACTTCTTCACACTGCATTATCAAACCTAAAAAAATCTCATCATCCAGAGACAAATAATAGTTTCTAGTGTATCTTCCTTACTTTTGAAGCAACTGCATAAATGTGTTTCTATGCCATGTTCGCATTTAACTGAGTTAAACATAGTGGGTGTGAACTCTGGCATTGGCAGATACTAGCTCTGTGACCTTAGGGAGGTAACTTCACTTGCCTGAATCATTGTTTCTTTATCTGCAAAACAAGGAGAATAATCATAGTTTCCTTATCTGCAAAATGAGGCTAGTAATCTCATAGAGTGGTAGTGAGGACAAAATGTAGCATTTTAAGGCACTTAGAACAGAACCTTGTCACACAGGCTTGAAAAAAGACTTAGTAATTTAAAATAGGTGTTCTACACAATGGCCAGAGTAATCCTTATAAATCAGACTGTGTTACTTTTCTGCTTAAACTCTGAAATTTTCTTACTGTATTTGGAATTAAATTCATATGCCTTACCTTGGTCTACGTGAAGGGTCTTGGTGTTCTGAAAACTGTTCTTTTCATTTCCTACCTAGTTCAGAACTGAGGGAGATACAGATGAATGTTTGGTGTCACTTAAATCTGTGGGATAGTAGGTGTTATGAACTAAATTGTGCCCCCCACCCACCCAAATTAACATGTTGAAGCTCTGAACTCCCAATGTGACCATATTTGGAGATAGAGCATTTAAAGAGCTCCAAAATATTCCAGTTGCAGTCCTAGCATACGGAGACATGAGAAGTAGGGGATAGGAATTTTCCTACTAAGAATCTACAAAGCCAGGCTGGGCGCGGTGGCTCATGCCTGTAATCCTAGCACTTTGGGAGAACGAGGAGGGTGGATCACGAGGTCAGGAGTTCAAGACCAGCCCGGCCAAGATGGTGAAACCCATTCTCCATTGCTCCTGCCTGGGCGATAGAGTGAGACTCCCTCTCAAAGAAAAAAAACAATGTACAAGGCCATGAAGGAGAGGCCCTAATTCAATATGACTGGTGTCCCTCTAAAGAAGAGAAGAGGCCGGGCACGGTGGCTCATGCCTATAGTCCCAGCACTTTGGGAGGTCAAGGCGGATGGATCACGAGGTCAGGAGATTGAGACCATCATGGCCAACATGGTGAAACCCCGTCTCTACTAAAAATACAAAAAAACTAGCTGGGCATGGTGGCACGCACCTGTAGTCCCAGCTACTCAGGACACTGAGGCAGGAGAATTGTTTGAACCAGGAGGCAGAGGTTGCAGTGAGCCAAGACTGCATCACTGCACTCCCTCCTGGCAACAGAGCGAGACTCCTTCTCAAAAAAAAAGAGATACCAGGGATGCACCTATAGGGAAAAGGCCGTGTGATAACACAGCATGAAAGTGACCATCTGTAAGCCATAAAGAGAGGCCTCAAGAGAAACCAAACCTACTGACACCTCCATCATGGACTTCCAGTCTCTAGAACTGTGAGCGAACAAACTGCTGTTGTTTAAGTCATGCAGTCTGTGGTATTTTGTTATGGCATCCCTAGAAAACTAATACACTAGGCGTCCTAGGACAGCACCCAAAAAACAATCTTATATTCCAGATCACAGGCAAAGGTGGACATTGACGAGGGTGGACCTAGGGACTTAAACAATGGCAGGACAACGTCTTTCTCTTCATATTTCAGATCCATCTACCTTCGTCTCCTGCAGGAGCTCTTACTGTAGCAGGTCGATGGCGACTGGCACTCCTAACCCTCCATCCTTAACAGGCCATTTTGCAAAAGGACGGGAGATTTGTTGTTTTCCAGACACCTAAGATCAAACCTTAAGGTACTCTTTTGCCTTTCCCTGATTGGTTTCAATGATTATTTCTGGGCCAATCACTGACTGGCCAGACAGCCTCATGCTCTGGGTGGAAACAAAAGGGAACATGATTTTTAGCACGCTGTGAGGTTTTCATAAAGTGGGGATGGAGCTGGTTGTTGAGGGGAGGCGGGGATTCCTATGTAAGTCACAGCTTAGGAAAATAGAGCATACTCCATGTTTTACAAGTACCACGGGATTTAAAACAGAGCATTAGATGCTTCTAAAACTACAGTAAGGGGCAGAGGGAAATAAGAAAGGTCACAACTAATATTCGTATGCTGCTTGTTTTCAAGGAAACAGGAAGGTGGAGGGCCCTAGGAAACTGCTGGCAGTGACAGATACCTTCAGTACTGTGGTGGGTGAGACACAGGAAAATGCCTAGAGGCCTCTCAAAGTCTCACGTCTACTGAAGTTCATTATATCTTATTGCCGTTTCCAAAGGAGCAGTGATTCTCTGTCTCTCTATCAATCATCTAGCTACCTAGTTACCTTCCTACTTACCTATCTAATTCTGGTCTTCCAAAACTTGTGTAAATTCCTCACACTGGCAGACCCTAGTTTTCAGAGATTCTGGGATATGTGACTCACAATCACAGGTTTCTGGCCCCTTTGATACATGGAAGAGCATAGACGGGAGGATGGCATTGAGTTGCTAACACACTCTGGTGTAGATCCTCAGAGAAAAGGATGCTGGACAAACAACACCTATGCTATCCTGAGTCATAGATATTGTAAGTATTTCTCTCACATTATTAACTTTTTTTTTTCACATGTAAGGGTTCTAAGGGAGCTTAATCTGTTTGAACAGCTTAGGGAGTCTTGAAGACATTGAGGAGATTGGGGAGGGTCAGGTTACAGGAAAATATTTTCATTTCCAAATAGAGAAAGAAAATCAAAGTCATAAGCTAAAAGTTGGTAAGCTTGGTGGAAATTCTGGGGGAGTTTCTAGATGGGAACATCAAGATGGTACATGAGGACTTGGAAAATAAAACAGTACTTACGAAAAGGCATCAGACATTTACAAAGAACAGATTGTACCACAATCACCTTACTTATTTGTTTGTTTATTTATGAATGACTGAGGGGATTACTGGACCCATGGAGCATATGGATTTTCATGAGGCATTTACCAAAATCTCATTATGTCTCTGTGAACAAATGGCGAAATGCTGGTGGCACTACTGCTAAGTGCAATCATAACTGAAGGGCTGTATCCTGAGAATGTCGACTAATGGACCCATGTCAGCCTGGAAAAATGGTCTCAGTTAAGCAGTCCTGGCTTTGGTTTTGTCCGGTTCAACCTTTTAATCATTGTTTCCTTTCAGAGCAATGATGGCTCTCTAATCAAATCTGAGGATGCACCAAGGCAGAGAGAAAGGATAAATGGATTGTATAATAAAATTAGGATTCGCCAAACTATCAATAGCCTGGCATGAAGGGCAGAAGGAACAAGTTGAATTGTACTAGAAATAAATCTAGAACATTGCTTCTAGACCTCCAAACAGTACAATGAGGGGAAGAGGGGGTTGGCTTAAGAGCAGACTCTGAAAAAAGAATTGTTACTATTGTAAACCACCTTAGACTGTCGGGTCGCATTAAACTGTCAAAATAATGAGATGACATTTTGGGTGGCATTTATAGTATTGCTTTGAATAGAATAATGCCAGGCACATAGTACATGCTCAACAGATAACTATGTAAAATAGCGTATGAATTAATGTCTTTTCTGGAATATTATGTTTGATGCAGGGCAGGTTCTCAGCTTCACTCAGGAAAGGATTCGAGAGAGAGCCAGTGATGGAAGAAAGCAGCTTTATTGAGGCGGCAGCAGTGTTACAGCCCTTTGTGACTGCTCCTTGCAGGGCAGGGCTAGCCCGTAGGCAGTGCATCAAGAGTAGTAGCATACGGGTGATTTGCCGTCATATTTATACCCACTTTTAGTGACATGCTAATTAAGGGGTGAATTATTCAGAAATAACTAGAAAATTAGCGGTGACTTCAGGGTGTTGCCATGGGGTTGATGGGAGTGTCTTACGGTGCTGGGCAGTGAGAACAACTGGAGGTGCTTCCGGCGCCTCTTCCCAGTTTCCACCAGTCTTCAGTCTGGTGCAGAGATGAGTCCTGCCTGCTTCCTACCTCATTCCCCACTTAGAGATCAGAACTTCTCCTTAATCTTCAGAGGGTTGCAGAAAGGCAGAGGTCCATCTTCCGTAACTGCTTCCTTCAGATTTATGGGCATAGGCCCTGCCTGGCATTGAAGAAGGAAAAATTTCTGGATTCCTGATTTAAGAGGCCCAAAGGCAGGATGCTTTTATGCTTTGGGTCAGAAGACAGGATAGCGTGGAAGCCTTGTGCCAGCATTGTCCTCACGTTGAACTGTTGTAACTTGGAAGACACAAACTTTACTAAGACGTTAAACAAGCAAGGGCCTAAAATTAGTAGTAACAAGACAACTATCAAAGGTCCTAGGAGAGATAAAAACCAGGTGAGACTTGGCAGGGCATTCTTGTTGATCAACCAGATATAGTTGGGGTTAGTTAGTGCCCTGTTATATGTATGTAACCAGGTATCTTGCTCATAAATCTTTTGAATGTTAACCTCAACCTTTCTGGGGTTGTTCATTTGTGTGCAGCAGGTTTTATTAATACCTACATAGATTCCACCTTTTTCAGCTAGTAAACAATCCAATGCTAGTCTGTTTTTAAGAACTATATTTTCCAAAGAGTCTAAGGATCTTGAATTTCCTTCATACCTGCCCTGTGTTGGTGGCTTATGATTATAATGATTCTAAAGTTTGAGTGAAGTTCTTTAGGGTTGACTTGTGGTAGGCGAAGCCACCCCGGGGGGCTGCTAGTCCTACTGCTCCCCTGATTTCTGCCAGAAGGATTTCCGTTGATCATTTATTTCTGGTATTCTCGGGTCTTATGGAATATAGATGGTGACCCCTGGAGGGGAAAGGGTGACCAATGTACATTCACTCTGTTCCAAGTGTTTGTTATACAAGGAAAAACAACTTCTAAAATAACAGGTGGCTCCCCAGGGAGTCAGGAGTGGTTATGGGGTATGACATTTTCTCACTTGTGACCACAAAGAAAATGAGCCCAGGTCGGGTGCAAACAGAGGCCTTATGGGGTAGGACGTCTATATTTTGCTGCTAAGTTGGGTCCATAGAGATATGCTTTCCCTGCTCCAATGGAGGTGGTCGAACAACTCCTGTTTTCCAGAAGTGGGCTATACTCCCACTTTTCAGAGTAGGCCGTTGTTTTTCCTCCTGTATGTTCTGATCTGGGAGGAGGCACCATCTATGCTTTTCTTGCTCACATCTAGAGTAGGATCAAAGCATTACAGGGAAAATTCTGCCTTTGTGTCATTAACACCACAGTGGGTGTGAAAGGTAGACTCATTAGTGCACTGGAGATACAGATACCCACCTTCCCAGGTCCAGGTAACGGTGGTGGTGGTGGATGGGGGGCAGGTGGAATCCATTAAGTTGGGGAACGTTCCACCCAACATGAAGGGGTCTAGGGATTTGGGGATTGCTATGGTTAGTTAGGAGGTCTAGGGAGATGGCTGTGAGATTTTCCAGATGAGTCAGCAAATGGAACCGTCTATCCTGGGGTGTTGATGACAAATCCAGCATCCATGAAGATGATTTCCTGATGCTATAATTTTTGACATATTTACTATAGAGTTTTGTTCCTACCCGCACTGGATGAGGTTAATTGGGAGAGTAAACAGGATTAACAGTGGCAGCGTACTGTCCAGTTGGGCTTTGGAGTAACCTTTACACCTAGTGTATTAGGCTGTTCTCACATTGCTATAAAGAAGTACCTGAGGCTAGGTAATTTAGAAAGAAAAGAGGTTTTTGGCTCACAGTTCTGCAGGCTGTACAGAAAGCATGACCCCAGTATCTGCTCAATTTCTGGGGAGACTTCAGAAAACTTACAACCAAGTTGAAGGCGAAGTGAGAGCAGGTACGTCACACGGCAAAAGCAGGAGCAAGAGTGCAAAGAGGAAGGTGCCACACACTTTTAAATGACCAGATCTCACGAGAACTCACCAAGTCAAGGACTGTCCCAAAAGGGTGGTATTAAACCATTTATGGGAAGCTGCCCCATGATCCAATTATCTTCCACCAGGCCCTGTCTCCAACATTGGGAATTATAATTCAACATGAGATTTGGGTGGGGAGCCACATCCAAACTATATCCCAGCAAGGACAAAAGACATGTTTCCCAGGAGGAGGCAATTGGACAAAGCATTACAAAAGAAGTATCATGGATGGGCACAATGGCTCATGCCTATAATTCCAGCACTTTGGGAGGCCAGGGTGGGAGGATCACTTGAGCCCAGGAGTTCAAGACCAACCTGGGCAACATAATGGAACCCCATCTCTACAAAATAAAAATAAAAATAAAAAATTAGCTGGACATGGTGGGATGCACCTGCAGTCCCAGCTACACAGGAATTTGAGGTGGGAAGATTGCTTGGACCTGGGAGGTCAAGGCTGCAGTGAGCCATGATCGTGCCACTGTACTCCAGCCTGGGTGACAGAGAGGGACCCTGCCTCAGAAAGAAAAAGGAAAAGAAAAGAAGTATTACAGTCAGGAAGAAGAGAGACAAACAAGGACAATTCCCACCCACAGTATCTCATTACCACTTCTGGCTGAGTGTTGATTCTTTTAAATAGGTAGCAGCGTTGCTCCAAAAGTTCACAGATGCAGGCTGTGGTATCCTCCTTTTGCACATGTGACTCATAAGTAACAGGTCTAATCTTGGTCCCCAACCAGTTATTTCCTGGAGTTTAACAGTAGTGCGGGTACTCATTACCACCTGATGACCTTTCTCTTTTGGTTGTAATTGATCTTCAGAGGATCCATCTTTATAAAGTTTCACTAAGACCAAGTCTCCTAGCTGAATGGGAGAGTTTATTTTTTTTCCCCCGTGGGAAGAGGCAATACTACATTTCCATATTCTTGAAGGGTCTTTTGAACCTGTTCTAAGTTGATAATGTGGGTGAACAATCTATGTGTCTCTTCATCAAACAGGAGGTCTAAAGTTAACAAGGGCCTTCCATTAAGTCATTTCAAATGGACTAAACTTTAAGATTTCCTTTGGAGCAAAAAGGGCTATGGGTAGGAGAGAAACTGGGCCTCTGAGGTCTCTTGAGAGTTTTGCTAATGTCCTTTTAAAAATATGGCTGGCATTTTCTACCTTCCCAGGGTATTGAGGACTCCAGGAGGAGTGAAGATGATAGGTAATGTCTAAGCTAAGGAAAACTGCTGAGTCACCTTAGCTGTGAAGGAAGGTCCATTATGACTTTGCAAATATTTAGGTAACTCAAATCTTGGGATGATCTCTTTAAGTTAGAATCTGGACATTTCTAATGCTTTTTTGTTTGTTTGTTTTTTTGAGCTTTCTAGGGAAAGCTTTCTTTTATCCACCCAGTGAAGGGCATATGAATACTACAAATATTTTAGTTTCCTATAAAGTGGCATCTGGGTGAAATCTATTTGCCAGTTTCCCCCAGGGTATGTTTCTCAGTGTTCTATAGG